CAGAGTCCGCCAAAAGAGCTTTAATAAGCCAATCGACGGATCATTTCTTTAAAAAAAATAAACTCTGAAACTGAAGCCGTTTCAGCTAAAAAGAAAAATAAACTTAATTATTTATAATCTCACAATCTCGCTACTCGTACAAATCACAAATTTCAATCTTATAAAAGATTCAAATTATAATAAACATTATGTATACTAACTCTAAGAACACACACACGCACACAAAATATATAAAACACATTATTTTCACAATATTTTGAAATATTGCTGTAATGTTGTTTGAACTATATTGGAAATTAATATCTATACAATGTTGCTACAACATTGCACTGCAATGTGCAATGTTGCAATGTTGCTGCAACGTTGCTGCAAGCTTGTGTGCTGTATGGGTATGCATATAATATACATAATTTATGTATGTACATGCAAGTACATTTGTATATCCAGCAATGTACATGCCATGTGCAATGTATAATCAAATGAGCCCAGATAGCTGCAGCTACATCCAATTCTTCCATTTTTGCACCCGTTGATTTTAATTCGCGTACCATGGCATCTAATTTAGCAGTTAAATATTAGTAACAATTATCTATATAAAATATGAATTTTATGTTATTTCAGTATTGCTAGTTTTATTAGATGAATATTTTATGAAAATGTTTTTGTTTTGTCCTGCATTGTATTAGGTTCATTAGGTGTTTTTCTATATATGTACCATTCATTTTTATAGTTTTTTAATCATTGCGAAATGTATCTTAACTCACAAATATTAACTTTTGCCCAATTTAAAATATTCGACTTTTAAATTATGTAATAAGATTAGTCAATCTAAACACTTTATAACAAATGTTGAAATATCTGTGCTAGTATAGATTTCAATTTTAAACTAAATTATTGTCGAACTCGAAAAGTAATCTTGATTAAATATAAGAATGTAAACTCGTTCTTTGAAATCATGTTTTGTATACGATTGTGCTAAATTTTCAAAGCGAGACACATTGTAGGTGTATTCTACTTATAATAACACACCTTATATAATATTAAAATTATTTTGGGATTAGACATGGTTCTTTGTTGCAATTAACTACGGGTTTTGTATATTTTCACAATAAATTTATACTAATAGTAGGGATAAACTATTTACTTGCAATCTTTCTTACCTCGAAAAATCATCAAGAACTGAAATTATGGATATGTGTCGTTACCATAATAAATATAAGGCGTAACAACAACTGGTAAAGTCAGTCCGGCCTTCCGCTCCTCCGTGCGCTTATTCACTCAGACGTTTTTCTTAATTACACGAAAATTATTACGAATTTTGCAAAATGGTATATAACTTTTCTTCTCAGTTGGATCCAATCTACTATAATTTTTGGAATGGTCACAAACGAATTTGACACCCTGTATATTCCACACGACCGCACGTCCGCACGCCCGCCCGCCCGCACAGAACGGAATAAGCGGATCAGCAACGGTTTTCTTGATTAACTTGTATTAATCGACAAATTAAATCGTATTAATTCAGCAGCCGCGCGAAAAATATGACTTGTCTCACGTCCAGATACGATTGTCGTCTATCAGGAAGACACTGATAATTCACGAACAAGCAAGGAGCGTGCATGTCGCGGCCATCGCACTACAGTTGGAAAGTGAGACGTCGATTCGCCATATATCGGTTTGACATATTGACCAGAAAGATTGGCCAAACAGATATTTTTTTTACACATTTTTGCACTTTGCCGAAAACATAAGAAAGAAGATGATAAAAAGATTTTTATGTCTTTCGGTAAAACGAAAAAATATTTTTTTAGTCG